TTCATCAATGTTTTGACTTTCAGTATACAGATCTTTCACTTCCTTAGTTAGATTTTTTCCTATGTATTTTATTCTTTTTGATGGTATTGTAAACAGGATTATTTTCTTAATTCATCTTTCTCATAGTTCATTGTTCGTATACAGAAACACAACTGACTGTTGTAAATTGATTTTGTATCCTGAAAAATACAGGAATTACTGAATTCATTTATTAGTTCTAACAAGTTTTTGGTAGAGTCTTTAGGGTTTTCCAAATATAATATCATGTCTTCTGCAAACAGTTATAGTTTCATTATTCCTTTCTAATTTGGATACCTTTTATTTCTTTTTCTCTTAAATGCTCTGGCTAGGATGAATATAAGTGATGAGAGTAGGCATCCTTGTTTTGTTCTGATCTTAAAGGAAAAGATCTTTTCTTTCTTTCTTTCTTTTTTTTTTTTTTAAGATTTACTTGAGAGAGAGTGAGAGCACACTTGTGAGTTGGGGGAGGGGAAAAGGAAGAGAATCTTCTAGCAGACTCCCCACTGAGCATGGGTCCCTACAGAGACTCGATCTCAGGAGCCATGAGATCATGACCTGAGATGAAACCAGAAGTCAGACACTTCACTGACTGAGCCACCCAGGCAACCCATGATTTCCGCTTTTCACTGTGCAGTGTGATAGCTGTAGGTTTGTCATGAAGGGATTTACTATGCTGAGGTACATTCCCTCTGTATCAGTTTGTTGAAGAGTTTTTATCAAAAATAGATATTGAATTTTCTCAAATGCTTTTTCTGCATCTATTAAGATGATCACATGATCTTTATGCCTCATTTTGTTAATGCAGTTGTATCATATTGATTGATCTATTGATCTATTGATCTGAACCTTCCTTGCATCCTTGGAATAAATCCCACTTGATCCTGGTATAGGATTCTTTTAATGTACTGTTGAATTCAGTTTGTTAATATTTTGTTGAGACTTTTTACATCAATGTTCATCAGGGATACTGACCTGTAATTTTCTTTTTCTGTAGTGACCTTGTCTGGTTTTGGTATCAGGGTAGACCTTGTAATGAGTTGGAAAGTGTTCCCTTCTCTTCAGTTTTTTGGAAGAATTTGAGGACTGGTGTTAATTCTTCTTTAAATGTTTAGTAGAATTCACCAGTGAAGCCAGGTCCAGGACTTTTGTTTCTTGGGAAGTTTTTGTTTACTGAGTCAAACTCCTTACTTGCAATTGGTCTGTTTAGATTTTCTATTTCTTCATATTTCAGTCTGGATAGGTTGCACATTTCCAGAAATCCATGTTTTTTCTAGGTTGCCCAATCTAGGTATTTCTATGGTATCAGCTGTAATGTCTCCTCTTTTGTTTACAATTTTATTTGCTTTTCTTTTTTTTTTTTTTCTTTCCCTTGGATAATCTAGCTAAGCATTTCAATCTTATTTATCTTTTCAAAAAACCAACTCTTAGTATTGATCTTTTCTATTTTTTTTCTATTCTCTATTTATTTCTGCTATAATCTTTATTATTTCCTTCCTTCTGATTAACTTTGGGCTTAGTTTGCTCATCTTTTTCTAGTTCCTGAGTTGTAAGATTAGGTTACTTATTTGAGATCTTTTTTCTTTGAAGGCATCTTGTATATATAATCTTTTTTCTTAGAGCTGCTTTTGCTGCATACCATATGTTTTGGTATGTTGTGTTTCCATTTTTCTTGTCTAAACATTTTATTTCTCCTTTATTTCTTCTTTGATCCATTGGTTGTTCACAAGTGTGCTACTTGATTTTCATGTATTTGTGAATTTTCAATTTTTCTTCATTACTGATTTCTACTTTCATACCAATGTGTTTGGAAGAGATACATGATATAATTTCAGTCTGCTTGAATTTGTTAAGACTTGGGTTGTGGCCTATGTGGCATATGATCTACTTTGAAGAATGTCCTGTGTGTTCTTGAGAAGAAAGTGTGTTCTGCTGCTGTTAGATAGATTGTTCTGTATATGTCTGTTAGGTCTACTTGGTCTTTAAGGTTGTTCAAAACCAATGTTTCCTTGTTAATTTTCTGTCTGGATGATCTATCCATTGTTTAAGGGAGGATACTAAAGTCTCCTACTATTATTGTACAGCTGTTTATTTCTCCTTTCAGTTCTGTTAGTATTTGCTTCACGTTTAGGTACTCTGTACATGTGCTGCCAAAGTGAGCACTATGTTTAAATACTCTGATGTTGGGTGCATAAATATTTATAATTGTTAAATCATCCTGATAAATTTACCCCTTTATCATTATATAATGACCTTCTTTGTCTATTGTGACGCTTTCAACTAAAATCTATTTTGTCTGATATAAGGATAGACACTCCCATGCTACTTTGGTGCTCATTTGCATGGAGTATCTTTTTCTATCCCTTCACTTTCAGCCTATATGTGTCCCGAAAACAAAAGTGAGTCTCTCATAGGCATCATTTCTCTCTTAAGACAGTGTAGTATTGACAAAAGAATTGACAAATAGGTCAGTGGAACAGAACAGAGAGCCCAGAAATAGACCTGCATAAATATAGTTAACTGAGCTTTGACAAAGGAGCAAAAGCAATACAATGGAGCAGAGATAGTCTTTTCAACAAATGGGGTAGAACAGCTGTGCAGAAAAATGAATCCAAACACAGACCTTACACCCCTTATAAAAATTAACTCAAAATGGATCACTGAACTAAATGTAAAACACAAAATGATAAAATTCTTAGAAGATAACACAAAAGAAAATCTAGGTGAGGGCCTGGGTGGTTCAGTTGGTTAAGCACTTGCCTTTGGCTCAGGTCATGATCCCAGGGTCCTGAGATCCAGCCGGGCTCCCTGTTCAGTGGGGAATGTGTTTGTCCCTTTCCCTCTGCCCCTCCCCCATTCCCCACTCGTGCTCTCTCTATCTCATGCTCGCTCTCAAATAAATAAAATCTTAAAAAAAAAAAAGAGAGAGGCACCTGGGTGGTTCGGTCATTGAGCATCAGCCTTCGGCTCAGGTCATGATCCCAGGGTCCTAGGATCAAGCCCCACATCAGGCTCCCTGCTTAGCAGGGAGCCTGCTTCTCCCTCTCCCACTCCCCCTGCTTGTGTTCCCTCTCTCACTGTGTCTCTCTATGTCAAATAAATAAAAATCTTAAAAAAAAAAAAAGAAAAGAAAAAATCTAGGTGACTTTGAATATGGCAATAATTTTTTAGGTACAATACCTAAGGCATGATACATTAAAAAAAATAATTGCAAGCTGGACTTCATTAAAATTAAAATCTTTTGCTCTTCAGAAGACAGTGTCAAAAGAATGAAAATTAAAGTCACAGATGAGGGAAAGTATTTGTAAAAAAAAAAAAAAAAATTGATAAAGGACTATTATCCAAAACTACAAAGAGCTCTTAAAATTTAAGAATAAGAAAATAAATAACCCAATTAAAAAATGAGCCAAAGACCTAAACAGATACCTCACCAAAGAAAAGGTACGGATGGCTAATAAGCAAATGAAAAGATGTTCCATATCCTATGTCATTAGGGAATTGCACATTGAAAAGAGATACTATTACACAACTGTTAGAATGGCCAAAACCCAAAACAATGATAACACCAAATGCTGGAGAAGATCTGGAGCAACAGGAACTTTTGTTCATTGCTCACAGAAATGCAAAATGGTACAGCCACTTTGGAATAAAATTTGGCAGTTTCTTTCAAAAGTAAACGTATTCTTAACCGTTTTACCTAGCAAACATACTACTTGGTATTTACCCAAATGAGGTGAAAACATACACCCACATGAATCTTGCACATGGATATTTAAAGCAGCTGTATTTATAACTGCCATATCTTTGAAGAAACCAACATTCCTTCAGAAGGTGAATGGAGAAACAAAACTGTAGTACAACCAGACAACAGAATATTACTCAACACTAAAAAGAAATGACGGCACCTGGGTAGCTCGGTTGGTTAAGTGACTGCCTCTGCTCAGGTCATGATCCTGGAGTCCCGGGATGGGGTCCCGCATTGGGCTCCCTGCTTGGCAGGGAGTCTGCTTCTCCCTCTGACCCTCCCCTGGCTTGTGATCTCTCTCTCTCTCATTCTCTCTCTCTCAATAAATAAATATAAATCTTAAAAAAAAAAAAATGAGCTGTCAAACCATGAAAAGGTATTAGAAGAAATTTAAATGCATTTTACTAAGTGGAAGATTGACAGTTCGAGAAGGCTATGTATTTTATACCCACTATATGATATTCTGGAAATGGCAAAACAATGGAGACAATAAAAAGATCAGTAGTTGCCATGGGCTGGGAGGAAAGAAGAATAGGTGGAGCACGAAGCATTTTTAGGGCAGTAAAATGATTCTGTATATTATATTATGTGGATACAAGTCGTTATCCATTTGTCAAAATCTGGAAGAATGTATAACACCAAGAGTGGATCCCAAAACTGGGGAAGGAGACAAACCTTAGGAGACTCTTAATCTCAGGAAAACAAGCGGAGGGCTGCTGGAGGGGAGGGTCGTGGGAGGGATAGGGTGGCTGGGTGATGGACACTGGGGAGGGTATGTGCTATGGTAAGTGCAGTGAGTTATGTAAGACTGATGATTCACAGACCTGTCTGTACTCCTGAACCAAATAATACATTATATGTTAATATATTAAGTGCATCCCAAAGTAAAATATGGATTATAGTGTGTTAATGGAGGTTTACCAGTTGTAACAACTGTACCACTGTGATTCAGGATGTTGACAGGAGAGGAGACAGTCCATGTATACCATAAGGGGGTAAATAAAACTCTCAGTACTTTCTGCTTAATTTTGCTGCAATCCTACAACTTTTCAAAAAAAAAAAAAAGTCTATAAAAAAAAAAAACATAGCTCTTAACTACCTTTCATACTTCTATCCAGATAAAAAACATTTACACTATGGAACAGAAGCCAAAACCACCTGATTATTTCTAAAACTTAGCTTTCAAAATCATCTTAACTGGTAATTTAAGGCTCACATTAAGGATCAAAGAACTTACTTTTCAACTTTCTTCTGATGTTCTTTTTGCCTTTGTTGTTCTTTTACTTGTTCCCTTTCAATATCCATGAAAAGTCGTCTGTATCTCAGGTATTGCTTTTGACGCTAAAGGGAAGAAGTTGAAAATGTTAAGATTCTGCTCTGAGGACTTTCCAAGGAAGGAAAATATCCTTGTGCCATATATAAAACTAGATGAAACAAAAGACACATGGAATTAAGTCCTTAATTTCCTTCTATTTTTATGGTGACCTAGAATAATATCATATACAGAAAAAGTTTTATATTCTCAAGCACATAGCTATTCGATAGTACAGACAAATCAGAGAAATAAGTACTAATTTAGTTTGCCCTTAGTCCAGTCCTTTGTCAACAGTACTTGAGGAAATGACTGCATTTGGTGTGATAAGATATATTACTATATTTACTCTGTGTTCCCAAGTAATAAGTACCTTAGAAGCAGGGCCAAAGGAAGAATGGGAGAGGTATTTTATAAAAGAACAATAGTCACTTTAAATTTCCAAAATTAAAACCACATCACAAAAGAATACTCTAAGCCTAGCCTCATATGGTAGGAAAGAGGGAAGAAGGACTGAGGAATATCTGAGCACCAAACTTTCAAAGGGAACAAGTATAGGGGCGCCTGAGTGGCTTAGGCAGTTAAGCATCCGATCTTGATTTCAGCTCAGGTCATGATCTCAGGGTTGTAATATCAAGGATCACACTGGGTTCCTGCTAGGTATGAGCCTGCTTGGGATTCTCTCTCTGCCCCACCCCCGGTCTCCCAAAGAAAGGGAACAAGTATAATAAAAGCAAGTGCTATACAGCAATGTCCACAATAGACAAACTATGGAAAGAACCCAGATGTCCATCAACAGATGAATGGATAAAGAAGATGTGGTATATATGCACAATGGAATACTATGCAGCCATCAAAAGAAATGAAATCTTGCCATTTGCGACAACGTGGATGGAACTAGA